AAATGCATACTATGTCAGTTTCTAAAACTAAATGTGTTGTGAAAAATTCAATGAATAGATTTTGGGTATTCTTTCTGATGTTCAAGTATCATTTCTTTCTGACTTGCTAAATGTAGCAACAGAGCATTGAGTAAAACCAACCACAATTTACCACTTATTAGTGCCCTCAAGTTTTCTCTCTGAAGAAAGGCCTCTTATCATTCTTATCTCAACAGCCAGAGAGCTTTTCTTCATGTATCCATCCCAACAGTTAAGCATTTAGAAATAGCTTTCTTTCTCAAAAAATCTCTTAAGTCTTTGTATGCACGTTTATCATATTCAAACGCACTGGACAGAAATGGTTTGAGGGAAGTATGGAAACATGGGAATTCTGACATCTGAGCACAGTATGCAGCAAATCAGCACAAGCTAAGAAATATATAGATGAGCCATAAAGAGGCCCAGCATTAGCAACTCTTACCTCCTAGCACATGCCTTCAGCCTATCAGTGTGTTCCTTGGGGGAAGACTTGTTCACAATACTCTGTAAATGATTTCATTACATGAACAATGATGGTAGTAGTTGCCACATCCAGCCCTAAAAGGTAAGCAGGCACCTAGAAGGGGGTGGGGGACGCTGCGGTATGAGAAAGAGCAAAGTCAATCTCAGGAATTAAAGGGCGGAACATGTTAGGGGTGGGGGACTCCATCCTGCAGGACAAAGGCCCCTAGTTCATCTTCCAGGCAGTTTTTATTATTCAGCATGACACAGTAGGAAAGGTAGTGAACTCTGTACATAACTAGTGATGAGTAACTAAGTTTCTTCTCTAACACAAAGCTCTGACCTTGAGCTGAACATAGCCCCTAGACTAATATTCTTTTTTTTTAATTTTTATTTTATTGTAAAGATGCTGTACAGAGGGATTACAGTTACATGGGTAAAGTAATGAGTACATTTCTTGTTGAACATTGTTCCCTCTCCTTTGATTTTTTTTCTTACTATCCCTTCCCTCTTCCACCTCCCCCACTCCCTCTCCACCAAAGTTGCAAAGGTCATTTCCAACATAGTGTCTTGTGAGTATCACTGTTGCAATGGGTCATCCTGTGTCCTTGTTTAAGCATTTTTCTTTTCCCCTTCCCCTCCCCAAATTAGATAAATGTATATACAAAATGCAGGGTAACAAAATAAAATCAAATACAGTGACAACAGGGGATATACCATAGGGGAAAGAACATACAAAAGAAACAAAAAAAATCACATAGTACATTGAAAACAACAACAAAGAAAAACCTCTTGAGTCCATATCTTGGGGTTCATTTCACTTAGCATCATCATCTTATATGTACATATGGTTATGTACATAGCTCTTGAACTTTTCTGCTCATTTAATAAGATTATTCTAGACATATATTAGTTATTGCAAATAAGGGAAATCATGGGACCTGTATTTCTTTGGGTCTGGCTTACTTCATTTAATATGATTTTTTTCCCAAGTCTTTCCATTTTCTAACAAATGGGGCAATGTCATTCTTTCTGATTGAGGCATAGAATTCATATCTTAGGTATAGTGAATAATGCTGCGATAAACATAGTTGTGCTGGTAGCTTGAGCATGGCCTTGTTTCAGGAATGCAAAACTGGTTCAATACATGCAAATCAATTAATGTAATTTTTCACATCAACAAGAGAAAGGATAAGAATCACATGATCAAAAGATTTTTTTTGAGATCAAAAGATGCAGAGAAAACATTTGACAAGATCCAACAGTGCTTTATGGTGAAAGCTCTGGAGAAACTAGGAATCCATGGAACATTCCTCAAAATTATAAAGGCTGTGCATGACAAACCTACAAGTGGCATTATACTTAATGATGAAAAGCTAAAGCCATTTCTTCTAAATTCATGAACAAGACAAGGATGTCTGCTTTCTCCATTCCACTTCAGTTTAGTATTAGAATGCCTAGCTAGCGCAATAAGACAAGATGCAAACATAAAGGTGACCCAAATAGGGAAAGATGTAAAACTCTCCCTCTTTGCATATGACATGATCTTGTATTTAAAGAACCCCATGGACTCCACTCTCAAGTGACTTAAGGTGATTGGAAACTTCAGCAAAGTAGAAGGGTATAAAATTAATCCTCAAAAATCAATGGCTTTTCTGTATGCCAATAATGAGAAGAGTGTGGCTGAAATCAGGAAAGCAACCCTCTTTGTAATAGCCCCACAAAAAGTACCTAGGAGTTAAGGAGTGAAGGACCTCTATGATGAAAAATATAAAAACCTGAAAAAGGAAATTAAAGCAGAACTAAGGAAGTAGAAAAATCTCCTATGCTCCTGGATTGGGAAGATTAACATCATGAAAATGGCAATATTGCCAAAGACTATCTACAGATTCAATGTGATACCCATCAATATCCCAACCTCATTCTTCAATGAAATAGAAGAAGCAATCCAAAAATTAATATGGAACAATAAAAGACCCCAAATAGCAAAAACAATCTTTAGCAGAAAGAACAGTGGTGGAGGAATAGCAATACCAAACTTCAAACTCTACTACAAAGCCATAGTAATCAAAACAGCTTGGTACTGGCACAAGAACAGACCTGAGGACTAATGGAACAGAACTGAAGACCCAGAAATGAACCCACAGACCTATAGCCACCTAATCTTCCATAAGGGAGCAAAAAAAAAAAAATAGAATGGAAGAAAGACAGCCTCTTCAGTAAATGGTGCTGGCAAAATTGGTTAAACACCTGTAGAAAACTAAAGTTAGATCCTTACATATCACCCTGTACCACAATCAACTCCAAATGGATCAAAGACCTCAAAGTCAAAGCAGACACCCTGAAAACATTACAGGAAGGAGTAGGAGAAACTCTAGGTCTCCTTGGCATGGGCCAAAATTTTCTCAATAGAGACCCAGAAACAACAAATCAAAGAAAGGCTGGACAAATGGGATTACACGAAACTGCAGAGCTTCTGCATGGCAAAGGACAGGGTTAGCAAGATCAATAGAAAGCCTACAGACTGGGAAAAAATCTTCACTAGCCATACAACAGACAAGGGCCTCATATTCTTGAGGCCCTAATATTCTTGAGTAACCTATCTTTAGCTATCTTCTTATGTTGGTCTGGGAGAAGGGTTAGGAAGCCAAGTTGAATATAAATTCTTAAGCTAACATTCTTGAGTAAACTAGCTATCTTTCCTTGGTTTGGGAGAAGGGTCAGGGACGGGTCCAGGGCCACTGTTTCCCTGTGCATGCCTCTGCACTCTGCCTACATGAGCCTTGCCACGTAGACATCCCTGGTGTTGTGCCTTTACATGTAGCCAAGGATGCCTTCAGCCTTGCTTAGGGAGATTTGATAAGTACAGTGATAACAGCAGAAGAAATAGATAACATATGCAGAGATAAACATTCAGAATGGATAGGAAGTGTATGGCAAAAACTTTCTCATCCTTTTACCAAGGTGCTAATATCTTCTCTATTTTTCTTGAGTTACTCTAAAGCAAGCAAGCACCTGTTCTCTCCCCTCCCCTCCTTCCATGCCAACGGATATGTAAAAGGGAAATATTTCATGCATTAAAAGAATTTCTCCAGAAAAGGTAAAATAATCATCCTCACATAGAAACAAACACATGGTAAAATTTTATTTAACTCATTCATGGAAAAACTGACAAAAAGTTCAAACCAGTACAAAGTAAAATAGAAAGATCAGGAATATTGAAGTAAATGCAGATGAAAATGGTTTTTGCCTTCATGTGGGAGTTGGAGGGTTGGAGAGTTCATTTGCTTGTATATAGCAAGAATCATGTTTTTGTGACTGCCATTTGTTTGCAACTTCTAAAGTTGTAAAATAAGTCTGGTGTGGTGACACATGCCTGTGGTCCCAGCTACTGGGGAGGTAAAAGTAGGATAACCACCATTTGAGGTTGGCCAGGAGAGAGACACTTTCTGAAATAGACAAAAAGATTGGGGTTGTGGTAGAGGGCTGGGGGGAAAAAGTTGTAAAATAATTCCCATAAAATTAAACTCAGCCTGAAAGATTGTGTTCTCCTGGTAATGAAAAAAAAAAATCTTTCACCAACACAGAATAGCTATAATTTATCTCCAGACATGGAGTAAGCAGAAAGTCTCGGAGGGAAGCAGGAATACACAGCTCACAAAGCTAAGTCCTGCAGGAAGCCTGTGGTTATGGCATCCGTTCTTGCACAGATAGGCCGGGTAAATCAAACACTGTCCTTCTTGGGCTCACTGCTTGGTGAAGGCAGCTCTGGACGGCGCTCCTACCTTGGAGAAACCATTTAGCTGTTCAAGGACTACACAACTTCCCCCAACTTCCGAAGACCTGGAAGTAGGTGCAGTCACTGGTCTGTGTATCTGGCCCACTGATTGCTCGTGGGGAGGCGATGGGCTTCAAGGGGCACTGCTCCTAACAGGCAACACCACCTTCCCGCCTGCCCCAGGCTGAACTCTTGGCTACTTGCTGCTGAACCCAGCTCAGCTCAGGATCTGGAGCTGCAGCCTGCACTGAGGACCCAGCCCCAGAGGTTGGCACGCGGCGAGCATTAATTAAAAACAGAGCCCGCCCGTGCAAGTTCAAGCCGGGGGTGTGGGGAGGGGGGGGAACGTCGGCACTTCGCTCCCCCGCCCCCAGGCTCAGGCTCCCAGGGGCCGAGTCCCCCGCCGCCGGGGCGGGGCGGGGCGGCCGCCCAGTTCCTCCTTCTATAAGCGAGGCCCGGCGCTCGGCGCGGAGATCGCAGGCCGGCCGCGCACGATG